AAACATGTGTGATGGGGGTCTGCTGGCTTCAGAAGCAAACACACAATTTGCAAGGCACGATTACTAATGAGCTTTAAAAGCCAGTATGTGCACACTCCTAGGGGTTCCCATTGCAGGCACACCAAGTTTCAGGTATCTAGTCTGGGAGCTGAGGTTGTGCTTGCAAGAGGCACATGCCATTTCTTTTACTGTTAAAACACAGGATGGCCTGTGTGTGTCTACAGAAAAGAACACATATCATAAAGTTGGATGTTTACTGTGGAAAAAAGGTCATGGCAGAGTGTGAAGGTTACTTTTTAGAAGGAATTTATGACATTTGTAGTCCCAAGGCTTCCAAAACTAGTTTACCGCCGTTATAATGTATTTTTAAAAGGAACTCTTTCTTGTTTTTCAGAAGTATTTAGTTACCTTGTGATGACTGAAATCCTGTTGCCTAGTACAGCAGGTGACAACTAGAGTAGGCCCATTGAATCAATAGAACTTACAAAGGAATCGATTCAATGAGCCTACTCTTGTTGCAATTTATTATGCTAAGGAACAGGATCTCTACTGGCTTATTTTAAACCAAATGCTACCAATCACTGTCCTGTGCAACAAAATACACTTTCCTTCCTTCCTTCAACACCCATCACAGAACACAAGGCCCAACACGAACCACACAATCTTCTTCCTTCACCATTTACTGAGACCACACTCCCTTTTGTATAAAAGTAACTAAAATTTACAATTATATCTCAAAAGGAATGAAGCTATTCCCCATTCAGTTACAATTACTGTATAACCGAGTACTAATCTTCAGGACTAGTAGGAAAGTGTCTAATTACAAGCAGTGCATTATATGCATCTAGCTGCTTCCAAGCACTGAGCAATGCAGTGATATGCAATGTAAAATTATGGGAACTTCACATTACACTTCCCTTCCTGTGCGCCCCCCCCAAAAAAAAACCTGTTCAGAAAAGAGCAAAAATCTCCTTGAACTGAGCAAACGTGCAATTGCTGTGGAACTTGAACTGCTCTTGTTGAATGTCCCGGAGAATCCTGGCACGGATTGAGAGGGAATAAGAAAGTATTCATTCCTCTTGGACAAAGGATTTCGTAAGGCAATGGGAAAAGAATCCGAAGAGAAACGCTGCCTCTTCAAGCAAACTCAAGCTGTCCGTTTTTGGGCAGGCATGAATACTGGAGGCAGTGTACCTGCCACATGTCAGAGATTGGTCAAACAATTATGCTGCTGCACAGAAATACCAAACTCAGATGACACGACAGCAAGTTAATTTCAAAGCCAGCAAAACCAGCAAACAAAACAGGTGTCTCTCCAATAAGCCATAACTCTTGACAGGGCCAGGGCTTCAGCCTCTCATCTGTGCTGGAACAGGTAAGCCTTCTCAAAGCACAGCAGAAAAGAGCACAGCGTGAAGATCCATAGGGTTTCCAGTCAGTTCTCTAACAGAAGGATCAGGCCTCATCTCCTTCTCCCTTTGCCTTGCTTTGTGCCACCATTGCAAAACAGTTAATTTGGCACAGGGGCCAGGAGAATGTAAAATGTTGCAATTATGAAGGAGGGCCCTACTGGGTCAGGGGGAAAAAAACAACATTCTGTTTAGAATTCTAGGCAGACTGACTGTTGGTCAGAGCCACCAGGGTTTTCCTTCACAGACTCTAGAATAAGGGTGTTCTAGATTCTAAAGTAGGAGTGAAGAACTTGTGTCCCTCCGACGACCCTCTGCCTGAGACATCATGAGCAATAAAGAAAGAGAATGGGAACTGTAGACCCTCCAGCATCTGGAAAGCTGCAGGTTCTCTAGAACAATTCCACTTCCATATTGAAATGTGCCAGAAAAAAATGATACCTATTGACTTCAGAGAGCCTCCCTGTGTGATCAATGGACTGAAAAAACCAAACTTCGGCTAAGCAAAGACTATCAGAACACTGGGTGTCACCACGCAGAAGAACCCTGCAGGATATATGCAGAAAATGTCCTAATTTGCCTTCCACTCTAAGGAGATTCTCCAGAAGTTACCAAACCAGGGCAGGGTGGGGGGGGGGAAGCAATTGTTAACAAGAATCAAATGACTTGTAAGCGTGGTGGGATAAGGGTGAGTGCAGAAAGGACAGGCCACACCTTCCCAACATCCATGTGTTTGATTTTAAAGATATTAACCAGCACACTGCTGCACACAGATCGGCAGGTGTGTAGCAACAGATTTGCTTCCATCTCTGCATTATATCTTACTAGGCCCGAATAGCATTATACTTTACAAGCAAACGGGGTTTCTCCGTCAACTACTCCTTGTTCCCTGCCACCCTCAAGCCTGACTAAATACAGGGGCTTGGGTGACCTTGGTGCAACAGCCTGGCCTCTGGGCAGGAACTGCACAGTTCAGCTGGACTAAAAGAGCGTTGAAAAGAGTCTTGCCAGCAAATATAGTGGAAAGCAAGAGATAAAAAGGAAGTTGGCAGCTGGGATGATGTGTCTTAATATTTTTTTGAGTCCTGTAACTCAGGACTCAATTCCCCCCCCCCCTTTGTTTAAATGCTGGACTTTTTACAAAAATGTGGAAAGCATCCAGATTCCTCTGGATAGCTTCTTTTGTCCCAGCGGTACCAATCAATAATTGATTTCGATCAGGATGTTTTTCAGTGCTGCTGCTGATTCCAGACTGAGCCACTCATGAACCAGAGGCTGAACGAAGCAGACAATCCTTAAGCATTCTCGCTGAGAAAGCTGAACTCAGCAGAGCCTTACTTCTGAGTAAGCACGTTTAGGGGCTGGCCTTGAAGCCTCTCAGGATGGCTGCAACCTCCACCATCCTATCAGCCAGAAAGGAGAAGCAAATTTAGCCAGAAGCCCAACTTTGGGGAATGGCGTTTCTAACCGAGTGATCCTCTCGAATGCATTTTTAGGCTGGGTAGCTGCCAGGCCCAGGAAGAAGAGACATCAAGCAACGGCTGCTGCCATTTTAGGAAACCCAGTCAGGCATCAGCTTCTGCAAGATAACACACCACTTTGCACCAGCAGAATTAATCACGACTTGGTATGAACGCTTTTGATTTTACACTTAAAAGACAAAAGATGAGCCACGTTTCTGTTTTCCCAGAAGTTTAGACAGCGTACTTTCCAAAAGATACTCCAACGTGGCCACATCAGTCCAGGACTACAGGCATAAACGTGGCCCTGTAGAAGGAGCCCATTTCTCCCAGGGATCCCCATAACTTAAGAACGCACACATCTTATACTGTACACATCTTCAACCCCACCCTACCCGCCACTTCTCCATCACGCATGTTTACATTAAGGGGACAAGTGGGCTGGTGGAAGGAAGACGATCATTGTGCTTCAGTGCGCACGTCTACAATACGCCTTTCAAAAGGACGCCCAGATCAAGGAAGCTAGGTTAAATATTGACCATGCTGATTAGTGGTGGGGAGGGGGAGGGGGGCGGAAGGAGGGAGGGGGGACGAGAAAGGAAGACGCGGAGGAAAGTCGAACAAGCTTTGAAACTCAGGGTGAAAATCTCTGCAAACAACGTTTTTTTCTTGTGCGTTTTGATCTTCCATGTCATTCATGGAAAGGCCGTCGAAGCAGCACCGCGAAATGAGACCCTGTTCTTTTCATCCCCCCATTTTTTTAAAAAAAGAAATAATCTTGCATCCGGAAAGGAACTAGGTTGGCATCTGGGTCAACAACCCCCTCGCCACCTCCCCTACGACTGGGGAGAGGGTTCCCCCCCCCCCGCTTTTCCAAGCACTGGCATTTCAGGCCTGCTCCACCGCAGTCCCATCAGGGCTTTCTGCAAGAGAGGACAGGTCTGCCTCGTAGAAGGCGAGGAGGGGGTGGGAGATTAAAAACAAAAAAGGGGGCACAGCGAGGCAGCTGGCAAGCTGGTGACGCCACCAGGGCCAGTTCCAGCCACAGGCAACCTGGCCTCTGCCGGGACTGCGCCATCGGTGGAGAGAAGGCCCGCTAGGATCCAGGCTTTCTCCCTCTCCCTCCCACAGATACAGCCCGGGGTACAGCCTCGGCGCGCCCAGCGCTGCGCCGTTTGATCCCGAGGCACCGAGGCGATCGCAAAGTTCAAAGCCAGAGCAACACCGGCAGGCCAGTTCCAGCCACAGGCAACCTGGCCTCTGCCGGGACTGCGCCATCGGTGGAGAGAAGGCCCGCTAGGATCCAGGCTTTCTCCCTCTCCCTCCCACAGATACAGCCCGGGGTACAGCCTCGGCGCGCCCAGCGCTGCGCCGTTTGATCCCGAGGCACCGAGGCGATCGCAAAGTTCAAAGCCAGAGCAACACCGGCACGGCAGAGGCAGCCCCCGGCGCTGGCCCTTCCAGCCGCTCCGCTCCCCTCTCTCCCCCCCTTTGCTCTGGGGCGCCGGCAGCCACCCGGCCGGAGGGCAAGGAGGCACCCCGGGCCACAGGGTCGCCTGCCCAGGGGCGACGCCAGAAGCCGGGCGCGCACGGGGTTCTCCTCTTCCTCCTCCTCTCCCTTCGCCCCCCCCCGGGCTGCAAAGGGAGCGAGGCCGCCATCCCCCCCCCCCCACCCGGGCACGAACGGGGTGGGGGTGGGGGGGTGAGGGTGAAAGTGCTCGGCTAGTCTCAGGAAGAAGGGGAGACTCTCGCTCCAGCCCGTCACCTTCTCGGTCCGGGATCAGACAACGTCCAAACGCCAAGTGCAGCTGGGAAGGAGAGGGGCCAGCGATCGCGAGGGCACCAAACCAAAGGGTGCAACCGAGCAGGGAAGAAGAAACGCACGATCATTCTCTCTCTCTCTCTCTCTCTCTCTTTTAAATTGACGCTCAATTTCCTCTAGAAAGGGCACACGCGTGGATTTAGGATGAATAGCACCACGCGTTTTTTCTACCGAAGGTCAGGAGAAGACATCCCAAACGCCAGAGGAATGTCTTCCCTCCGGGACATTTACAGATGTACAGATTTCCCACCGACCCTCCCACCCTAACCGGCGTCTTTTCCCCACGAAGATGAATAATTCCCTACTTACTTTGAATAATCCAGCCAGGATCATCTCTCAACAGGCGAGTTAATCCTAAATCCGAGACAGTCCAGGAGCGGTGCCTGAAAAGGGAAAGCAACCGGCACGAAACAAGCCCGGGGCGGAGGGAACGACCTGCAAGGGCTGCGCTGTCAGAGGCGGCAGCCGCGTCGCTTCCCCTTGCTTCGCCTCGCTATTGGAACAACTGCTGCCTGGGAAAATGGCTATTTTATGAATGGGAGGGAAAAGCGCTCTTCTGCGCACGCGCGTCCTCCCAATTCTATGAATGGGTGGGCACTGGCTTGCCAAAGCGCATGCTCCGCTCTCAATTATGAATGGGGGGCCGGAAGGGAACTTGTTGCAAGTTAAGGATGGATGTAGGCTGGTGCCTTTTTTTTGGCTCGGTTTTTTTTTATGAATGAAACGCGGTAACTGCCGGCAGCTGCGCATGCACCACACGCACGCACACATACACACACACACACATACACACGGCCTTGGGCTGAAGGTAAAGCAAGCCGCAGTAGAGGGAGGGAGTGGAGAGAGATGAAAAAAGGGAAACGGGACGTGGGGAAAGAAGGTCACTTGCCTCTGCTCTGGCAGGCGGGGGGACGGCAGGTCTCCCTCTCCAGTAAGAGGGGAGCGCTCGGTGGGGCGTGAGAGGGAGGGCGCCGGGGGGGGGCAAGTGAAGGCTCTTCCCGACCCCCTCTTTGCAGAGGCGGCGTTAGGAGATCTGACCCCGAACCCCCCCCGGGCTCCCTGAGAGGCTCCTGCCGGAGGCCTGCGCTCCCCCGCCCGCGCCGGCGACAACCAAGGGCGATTCCCGAGGGGGCGGCCGGCAGGCAGTGCCCTCTGGGCTGGCCCGTTCAGGTGCAAAGAGGGCTGATCGGTGGGTGAATGCCACGCAGACCGTTCGAAGGAGCCTCCCCGAAGAACGGGAGGCGGCGGACACGGTGGAGAAGGGGGGGGAGGAGGGAAACTATCGCGCCCATCCACACCAAATTCCAGGCTAGTCATCATCCTCCCGGTCATGATTTATCGCCTAAAGGTTGAACGCTGCGCATGGGTTTAATTTAATGTCCGGAGCCACTTCACATCCTGCTCGAGGGCGCACCGCGGGGGCAACGACAGCGCCTCAGAAGCACCAAGGCTCCGTTCGCTGGCTCCGTGGGAGAACGTGCTGCTGGGAACGCATCCTGGCTCCGTCCCCTTCTCACAACCTTCCCCTTCGTTTTTAGGGAACAGATTCATCCGGCTTGACTGGGGAGCGTGGGATGCATCGGGGATTGATAAAAGAGAAAGAGAGACGGGACTGATAAGCCCCCAAACCTTTTTCCAGAGCCCGGCCACGGCCTGTGTCATGGGCAGCGGGAGGCAGGTAAGGCCCAGCGCCTCACCTGGAGCTTGGCAGAAGGCCTGGCACGGGAGCGGAGTCCCAAGGGGACGCCGTCGAGGCAGAGAGGAAGGAGAAGGCGAGGGGGCGCTCCCTCCGGCAAAGGAAGACCGGCCTTGTCCTTTCATCTCCGCCCCGGGAGGGCCTCGAATGGATTTCCACACAGACTTGGGCCGGGATGCACAGGAAGAAGGACTCTTCCCTCCCTCCCTCTCCCCCTCTCTCCCTCTCCCTCTCTCTCTGGGGCCCTTCCAGATGAGCGACTCCTGGTGCTTCCAGTGGAAAGGCATGTGCAGCTGTTCTCTCTTCTCCTCCTTCAGAGATTTTCTTTGGTGAAGGAGGAAATAAAATGAAGTAAAGCTAAAGAAGCATCTGGGGAACTCCAGAAGGTTACAAAGGGCAGAAGGCAAGATCTAAAAGGCCAGCAAAATGCTGCTGATGGGACAGGATCGCTGCAGAATGAAAACGTTATCCTGTGCCCTGGGGTATCTTACATCACTGTAGCAAAGTACTCACAAGTATTGGCCACTTGCTAGAAAAGGTCCTGGCTAACTAAGTTCACGGATACCTATGTAGTCAAAATGTCCATCTCAGGGTAGAATATGGTGGGGCAGATACCTCTGGCCCTGATCAGTTCAGGCCTGAATGGCAACATGGTCACCATTGATCTAGCGATGAAGTTGCTTATCTGAATTTGTAGTGTCCTTGAAACCTATATTTATCTACTCAGAAGTAAGCACTACTGTACTGAATTCAGTTGGGAGTCAACCAGCATAGGATAGGACTGCAAGCTGTTAACTTGGGAAATCTGGTTGGAGATTCAGTTTACTGAGTGAGACAACCCAAGTCTCCATTTAAGCTCTCTGATGGTCAACACAAATCTCACAAATACTGTATGTTCCTAATCATACTTACTTAGAATTGCCCCATTTCATACAGCAATTTTGCCAATGCTCTGTTGGAAGTTATTCCTACGGAGATACTATATACCAATAGAATTTTACATTCTGAGTAAGCGTGATCAGTCCTGGGCTACCTCCTCTTGCTCCTGTGGGAACGAAGGAGATATTGCTCTTCTCCTTGGTTTGCAGGATACTGTAGTCTTAGTTTCTAATAATAATCCCCCCCCCCTGTTCTCTTCTCTCAGCTACTGTGTGCATGTGTAAAGGTAAAGGTAAAGGTTCCCCTTGACAATTTTTGTCCAGTCGTGTTCGACTCTAGGGGGCAGTGCTCATCTCCGTTTCCAAGCCATAGAGCCAGCGTTTTGTCCAAAGACAATCTTCCGTAGTCACATGGCCAGTGCGACTTAGACACGGAACGCTGTTACCTTCCCGCCAAGGTGGTCCCTATTAATCTACTCACATTTGCATGCTTTCGAACTGCTAGGTTGGCGGGAGCTGGGACAAGCGACAGGGGCTCACTCCATCGCGTGGATTCGATCTTATGACTGCTGGTCTTCTGACCCTGCAGCACAGGCTTCTGCGGTTTAGCCCACAGCGCCACCATGTCCACACGTGTGCATGTGTATATAATGCCAAATCAGAGCACAAGTATGAGTGATATCTGGTTCACAGTGAAAATATGTCACTACATTAGCCTTTAACATGTCATTTGACCCACTGTTGTTTCTGGGATGTGTGAATGGGAAACAAACACGTAGATATATATATATATTCTTTTTGTATTTAGTTTGTGCTAATCACAGGGAGAGTGAAGGAATGAGTTTGGCAGCACATACTCACTAAAGCAATTACTGTACCTGGGAGTGTGTGCTGCCAAATTTATTGGGACTGACTTCTGGTTGAGTGAATATGTTTAAAATTGCACTTTTAAGAGTGCAGTCCTGAACAATTCAAAAGAAGCCCTGTGTCCCCTTCTGCTCATTTTCTGTGCCATAAAAACCATGTGCTGTCAAGTCAATACTAACCTACGGTAGCTCTTTTCAGAGTTTTCCAGGGAGAGGATACTCACAAGTGATTTACCATTCCCTGCTCTGGGGGTGTGGGAGGGGGGGGACTCCTGGGACTGTGCAGCTAGCCCCAAGGCCACACAGGCTGGCTCTCCTGGTGGGCGGCAGAGCAGGGGCTTGAACTCCCAACCGAAACATTGAGCTATCTGGCCAGCTGGGTCACAGAAGAGTCCTCTTATATTCTGTGAAGCACAGTTTACACTGATGCTGCTGTATAAAAAGCATCCATAAAATATCGGCCAGGGCAAAGACCTGTAGGAAAAAAGACGGCCACCCTCATGTGCAGTAAGAGTAAACCACATTGGAAAAGGAGGTGGGGGGATTATTTCTGGGGGAAATTATGCTTTAGGTTGGGCTATGAACTGACATACTTAGACTACTGGAAATCTTAGCACTTCTAAGATTTCACACGATTTCAAAATGACCTTTTGTGGTCTTAAAAAACATAAACTTCCTTTTAAAGAAACAAAGGAAGAGGAGGAGGAAGGGCGCATATGCAGGTCTCACTACATGTCCTGAAGGGGTAGGGATTCAGTTCTGCTGCTTCCCATAGCAACCCTCTCACGAAACACTCTTAGAACCTAAAATGCTCCCCCCCCACACACACACCACCAATTTGTTTCTATACATTTCTTTGTTAAATGAAACATTCTTAGAACCTAAAATGCTCCCCCCCACACACACCATCAATTTGTTTCTATACATTTCTTTGTTAAATGTATGATTTTTATGCACTTGCATTACTTTGGGAAGATCCAGTTGGATTCATGTTAAGTTCCAGCCAGCATGCAGTCTAGCCATTAATGACTTCTAACTTCAGTTCAAGAGATGGGAAGATGCCAGAACCATTGGGTGTATGGCCGAGGTTCATGAGGAGAGGTGATACTGCAGGGATGAGGGAATGCCCTGCCCTCCAGCTGTTGCGGGATTGCTGTTCTCAGCTCAAGCTAGGATGGTCAGTGATGATGGGAAGATGTCTGTTCCAGTGTCCTCCCCTTGCAATTAATGGTTTTGTTGATCCTTCCTTGATTGTGCTCTTACATCATTCTGCTTGTCTGGCCCTCTGGGGATGACAGAGGAGATTCGATTTCTGCCGGATGCCAGGCAACACCCTCCAGGTTTTTAACACCATCTTGCTTTTTTTTTTTTTAACCTCAGGAAGCTAAGTATCTTGGACCAGCCCCAGCTGTTGTGGATCAGTGTTAGGGATGTACAAATGTGTAGGAGCCAGCGTCCCTCTTCTCAAGAGTTCCCATAAGACCCAGGACCTTGAGAGAAACCCAGAGGACAGACGGATGCTGTGCCAGCACTCTCCTTCCTGAGCAGGATACCAACCTCAGAAAGTGCTGCCTCAGCAGGCAGCTTCTCCAGCATAGAGAACTTGATGGATGCTTTGCAGTGGATGGGGGTGGGGAGAGAGAAGAGCAATGCAGGGCTGGGTGGCATTCTCTCTTTTGATGTTTTTTTAAGTATTAAAGGAAGCAAGAAAAGTAAAAGGGTGCAAAAGCAGTTGCCATACACGGAGTTTCCATTTCTTAGGTTTAGAGAGGAGGGGAGTCACACCTGAGCCTTAAGTCAGTGATGGAACTCATACTGTACAGGCCGAAAGTCCCAGGTTTAATCCCAGGTATCTTGAGCTAAAGGTAGCAGAGGTGGGGGAAATCCCTGCCCTTTCGAGCTGCTGCAAAACACAGTAGACAACAGAGGGCCAGCTTCATAACCAGAGCTTGGTAGAGCAGTTACTGTACTCTTTTGGACCTTGGCTCTCAGAAGTCCTATCATCATTGCCAGTGGCCATGGCCATGATGGCCTGTGCCTCTGGCAAACGGTTGCTGGGTCCTCTTTGC